CCAATTTCCTTGCTTCTGAATCATTCCCATGGCTTTGAGGCGTTTTGAAATGGCTTGTTGAGTCACTCCCAATGATCGTGCCAATTCTTCTTGATTTTGACACGAGTCTTGATCAAGTAATGCCTCCAATTCTGCATCTTCGAAAACCTTCTCTCTTCCACCGCTATGCCGGTCTTCGACGTCGCAATCATCGTTCTTGAAGCGTTGAAACCACTCACGTTCTTTCACTAATAGCGGCCTCACCATAAGTATTTGAGAGCATTCAATGAGCCTCAGCCGCAGATTTTTCATATTGAAGCAGAAAATTAAAACCTCCCGCAAATGACGAGAATTTGGCTCGTAAACTGACATTTTCAATCGAGAATAACTGTACGATGCAGACGCAAATCGATTAATGTTTCTATGGGGTTATGTTGACAGATGCCCAAGTTTATTGTATGACGTCTATGTTCTATTTATTTCGACCACCACTTACCGCTAAAGCCATCTATAGGAAAACGGCGGAAGCAAAGTTATACATCTAATAATATCCTAAGACCTAAAGATATGATTGATTTTTTTTTACAGAGAACATGTATGTACTTCGTGATCTCTAATATACTTTTATAAAAATATAAAAAACGAGATTATTGACTTGATAATGTGTTAGGAATGTAAACAAATGACAAATGAGATTGATATAGATTTGAATTTCAGTAATATTTAAAGATGCTCCCCGAGCATCAAACATACTGGCGAGAATCTTTCTAAAATTTGTGTATGCCCGCTATTTACATGATTGCGTGTGCGATTTATTTAAAAAAAAAAAATAATATTGGGCTACAAATCTGAAGTTTCGTTTGTGACGAGAAATGACATGTGCGTCAAATGTTTCGATGACGAACATTATCAAAGTGTCTATTTAAACTTTGAAAAAAAAAAAACGTTCAGATTTAAGTTTTCAGAAAAATTTGTATATATAAATTTAATATAAATTTGTTTATTATGTGAGTCTTCTTTTTTCTACTCGTAACTGTAGAGAAAAAAAATTAAGAGCTATTCAAGAGTTTTCAAAAACTTTACTTCCAACGTAATATACTTTTTTTCCGAAACATTAGAGATAAAAAGAAATATATTCAAAATATAGGATAAACTAGGGTAATTATGGCCATACGGAAAAGATGGCCATAGGCCATAATTTCTCCAACAATTGATAAATAGTGCATTTTTATAATCATTCTTAGAGATAATCAATATTTACAGTAATTCATATGAGTACACTGTTCAAAATAACAATATTATAAATATTATCTAATATTTTTTCTTTCGACTATCTGTAAAGTTTTGCACGTGTCTGCTAAAAACTGTTATAATGTCTAATAAATTACAATTAAGCTGCCATAATCAACATTACATACACAATAAAAGTACGCAAATCTTTCTATCTTTCTTAATATCATGGCCATCTTTTCCCTAGAAATCAGATATGATAGCCAATGCATATACTTTATAATATTTTGATAAAATTAAATTTCTGTTAAGTATTTTCTCTTTAATTTCGATAGTATTTGTTACTTTAAGCTTCAGTGAAAGTAATATCCCTAATATTGTTAAAAAGTAACAAGAATAAATGCATGTTTTTTGCATTTTAAAAAACTATGGCCATCATACCCGAGTTTACCCTATTTCACGAACACAAAATATACAGCCCATATAAGTATCATAAACGTCTGTTTGTTGAAAAAAAAAACCAGACATGCTAGTTAATCAAACTGTTAACATGTATTATAAAATATAAGCAAGATCCTTGAAGAAACAATTTAAAAAATATACATACAGGATTTTTTTAACCTGAAACTTTCAAATATCTCTAAAAATAAGCACACTAAGAAAAAAAGTTAAGAATCAATATTTCATCATTTCGAGGGTGACATACACTGACGTTAAAATCAGCCCTCCCACCCCGCCCCCTGGGCGGTGAGGGGCAAATTTGAAATCTTAAATGGGAACCCCTATTTTTTATTGCATATTCGGAATCTTTGGCTAAAAGTACATACGATTTGTCTGAAACATTTTTCTCGATTCATGATAGATGGCGATGTAATCGACGAAATTCATTTCTTCGATTTCTTTTACTGAGAACCCATGCTTACGATTCTGCAATACATTAACAATAAAAATACCACGTTTTCATTGTGAGCACCCCGAATTGTGAGAGGCAAGGGGACTCACGTTAATCAAGCATTCCGAAGGGAACAGAAAACTGCTACGTCGTTGTTCCTGGGTTACGCTAAAAGTAGTTTCTTGAGAAGTAATTAATGAGT